GATCACACTATAATAACAATATTTAATTGTTCATTGCTCATAGTCTCCAAGCTCTAATGATATTCCAAAAGTCTAGTATTCAATGCCTGATAAATAGTACTTAAAATACATTTTCTGTTTGAATATGTCTTGAATGAGTTGAGATACATATAAGTATATCTAGATGTTGATAAATAAAAATGAATCTGAGCTCAAGAGGGTACAGATGATTCTATAGATTTCAGTTAGTTCTAAATTTAGGACTGTTGCTTTGGCAGATTAAAACAAAATTCAATCAAATACTTTATAGATGGACTACTAAGAAATACATAATTTTGTTCATGTTGCTAAATATAATGTGTACATTTTAGTTCCCAACTTAATTGATTTTTCAACTTCATTCAACATGGTTCATTAGCCACTCCCTCCTTTTTCAAACAGTCTACTGCCTTGGCCTTAGTGATGCCAAGGAAAATTTTCCCCAACTTCTGCTACACTTTCTCAGTCTCCTTTGCTCCATTTCTTTTTCCCCACGTTTAAATATTGAAGATTCATAGGGAACTATTTCCCTGTATCTTCTCTCTATATACTTTCCTCTTAGGCAATCTCACCCCCACCACCCACACTATAACATCAATTATAAGCTATACTGACTATTCCCACTGTATTATGATCAATACTCACCCCTTCCCAAAAACTAACAAACAAAAAAACTGGTATTTTCCCAATATTCCCAATGCTAGATACAAGAACCGCTTACCCAGAAACCAGCCTTCTCCTCTCCCTGGACCCCAAATCTAAAACATCATCAAATCCTATCAATATTACTTTGCAAATATTTGTCAAATCTAGCTACTTTATCTCTATCACTGCTATACTTGACCAAGATTCCATCATCTCTTGCCTAAACTGCTATAAAGCCAAACTCAATTCTACTCAAAGTGGTTTATGGACCAACACTGTTTCATGAACTATTATTACAAGGTAAAAACTAAAGGAGAGCATTTTGAAATTTTTAATAGTAATTTGACACTGCCACAACATTCATTTTATTGTTATTAAGGTATCAGTACGTATTAGAAACCAAAACAAAACAAAACAGGTCCTTAACCAGATAATTTTGAGTAGCACTGGCCCAACTGGTCTTGGTTTTTACAGTTGCCTCTCCAATCTGTCCTCTGCAGAGGAGCCAAGTGTTTTTAAAATGAAAATCTAAGTAACTTACTCAGCTGTTTAACATTCTCCAGTGCTTCCCATTTCTCTTAAGTACAAAATGCTTAACAATAACTGACCAGAGTGACCTGTTCCAGTCTCATTTCACATCACCCAGCCTCCCGTGCTAAGGTCCAGCCCCAACAGGACCCAGCCTCCCGTGCTAAGGTCCAGCCCCAACAGTTCTAGAGAGCTGAAATCACCAGCAATACTTGGGTAAGTCCAGTGGATATTTCAGGTTTCAGTCTAAAAGCCCTTTCTTCAGAGAAGCTTTCCTTAATACATTAGCAGGCTTTCACTGTTTACAATAATTTTTCCTTTGTAGCAGTTATCTTAACTGTAATTGTAATTTTTGTAATTATTTGTTTAGTTTCTTTATTCCCCAGCAGACTTTTGCCTCCATGAATATAGGTACACTCCATTTGCATGTGTCACCAGCGCCTAGCACAGTGTCTGGCACAAAATCAGTTGTTCAATAAAAGTGAATAAATCCAAGTCAGGAAACAAAACAGTGAGTAGGACCATCAAAGGTAAATGCTTTCAACATCTAGTCATATATAACACTTAGGATAAGTCTGTGTATAGGCGCTTTACAAACAAATCTTTTTTTTTTTTTTTTTTAGTTTCCTAAACAATCTAAAAATAGAGAAACCTATTTAAAAATATATATATAAGAAAGAAAAAAGAAAAAAGATTTTTCAGGAAGATGAACCCCGTCTAAAGTAACTAACATGGAACTGGAAGGTCTGAGAGGTGATAGGTTCTACAACCATGTTTCCTGGCTCTGCTGCTGACTTAGCTGTATGATTCTGTGGAAATTAAGTAATCTCTCTGTTTCTCAATTCCTCATGTGTAAGACAGAGATATAATAAAGCCTTCTTCAAAAGATTGTTATGATGTTTAAACAAGTTAATATATATAAATATTTGAAACAGGGCTTGGCATAGTGTTTTATCAATGTTACAGATTATCATTATCTTTAATATAACCGGTATTCCCTATATTATTATTCTCTGACAAAGCTTTTGTCAACCAAGGTTCTGTAAGAATGAAACCCTACAGAAACTGAACTAAGTAACTATTTCCTCAGTTCTTTCGCTCAAGTATGGTATATAGCTAGTACCATTTTAGGTGCACAGAAAAGGAGTTACTTCATTAGTAGTTTGGATGCCTTAAAGTAGGGGTGTCGAACTCAATCAGAGAAGGGGCCAAAATCTAAAATCCAGCCTAAATCGTGGGCCGAATGGTTTACTGAACAGTCATAAACTGTCATTGTGATGGAAACGCAGCGGAGTGCAGTGATGACAGCGAGGTGCGGGCCACATTGCCAGGCCTGGCGGGACAGATTTGGCCTGCGGGTCTTGTGTTTGACACATGTGCCTTAAAGCATTAGGGCTTGATATTCACTGAACCCTGGTTGGGAAGGGCTGCCCTTGTGTATCCCCAATGTCTAGCATGAAGAAGGTGCTCATTAAATATTTTTGGCAAGAATAAATATTTTCAAAACCAAAGAATAGTGCTTAGCACAGAGTAGATGCAAATGCCTTCAAAGTTCCCATAAACTTTAAATGTATGATTCCAGAGGAGTCATTTCTTCTTGAATGAGATCTGCTGTTATTATTCAAAGCCAAAATACAGAAAGTAGAAAAGCCAAGAAAAAACCCAATGTTGGGAGGAACCACGTGGAAATAGTAAGAGGTAAAAGGTGGGGAGAATTTGGATATGCAGGGAAAGGCAAAGGTTATTCTAGGCCAGGAAATAGCTTAAGCAAAGGCCGTGTCACCTAAAGTTTGGAGTACATTCCACCTGACACAAAAGTGATATTAAGCCACACGTGGGCAAACATTTTTTTGCTGGCAGTTGCATATGCACATAATTTTATGTGTAATTAGGACAATTTGAGATTTCAAAATTTTACTATTTATAACACTAACCAGAACATATTTGATATTTTTTAAGTGAGTTGTTTCAAAAAACGTATTAAGAAAATAATACACAGGAGGTCAGCAAATAGCACAAAAATTGTCAGGGTTTTAAAGAGTAAAATTTGGGAAACATCAAGGAATGGTCATGTGAATGAGCATACCATGTTTCGAGAGGAAAGCCACCAGTCTCCTGAATGAAGCCAAAGCTCTACCTTGAGTAGCAAGTCAACATAAAGGACAGATGAACGTGAAGAACCTCACCAATTTTGAGTATTTAATTTGTAGTACTAAAACTCATATCTATAAAATCCTCATTTTCCACTGCAATATTTCTGCTAAATAGTTCAACTTCATTTACTCTCAAAGGTAAAATTTTAAAATTTCTAAGCAGGTAACTGAAATTGGGGCTGACCTGCTTGGAGCCTGGTAACTTACTTGAAACCAGGGAGCTAAAACTCTATTATTTTTCACACCAGAAGGACTTATTTTATACAATTACAAAATATAAATCCTATCTATATCAAAAAGGGTATTAAATGAAAAAGAGCAAAAAGCCCAGCTTTGGATTCCTACCTTCCTCTCTCAAAGTTATCAATAGTAAAACCGAGAGACAATACTAAAGAACATTACTGGATGCCTACCATGCGCCAAGCTGCACTTTACCTGCCTTAAGTCATGCAATTACCACCACCTTCTTAGGAAGTGTATCCCCATCCCCCTTCTACAGCTGTAAGGACCCTGAGGCCCAGAGCGATTCAATGTCTGGTCCGAGGCCAGCGCTGGTAGGTGGCGAGGCAGAGGGTTAGGTTCTGGCAGTTTAGCTAGAGCCTGACCCGGGCACCATTTCTCTCAAGAAGAACAGGGTAACATTTGAAACATACTCCACCTTTCCCATTATGGCAGGAGAGATATAATTTTTTTCAAGACTTGAACCTTTCACTACTCAAGTTTCCCCTCTTAAGAAACAAACGGTGGACTCGGCTGTAAGTTAAAACGGGTAAGGTGGGTATTACAGTGGAGCAATCCAGGCCCGGGCTTACTCCGATGCAGACAAAGCATCCGAAGACCCCAAAGTGCGGCAGAATGACAGCATTCACAGAGAAAGGAGCCAAAAAAGAGTTGTGGTGAACAAAAACAAACAACAACAACAAAAACAAAAACGAATCTTATTTCTGCTTTGAGGGAGAAAAGCCTACCACCCCCTGCCCTCTGGGGGGAACCGGGAGAAAGGACGGCAGGAGGGAGTGGAATGAGGAAAAGTCAGGACCCGGCCCAGACCCTCAGTGAGCCTGGGCCCCGGTGAAGGGAGGAGAGGCGAGGGCAGGGCTGGGGGGGGGGGGGGTGTCAGGGGGCGGCGGGCCCGGCCGCTGGGGGTCAGGGGGCGGAGGGCAGGGCCGCTGGCGGGGAGGGGGGGGGGGGGCTGGCTGGGGCGGGGGCATTCACCCCAAGATGGGTAACCGGGGTGACAGTTCCGAGTGTCTGCAGTTGAGCTGGGGAGGCACAGATGCGGACGCTGGCGGGTGGGAGAGGCAGGTACAAACGGACGGAGGAGTGGGAGGAGGATGGGGACGGGGAGGAGGGGGGCCAGGCCGGCGGAGGGAAGTCTGGGGGCTCCCGGGAGGCGGGGCGGAGTGGGGGAGTCCCAGGGGAAGGGAGCCTCGCCCGGGGGAGGGTGGGGGGCGGAGGGTGGGGCCGAGGGGCGGGGGAGGGAGACCAGCCTGAGAAGGGGGGGGCCGGCCGCAGAAGCGGGGACCCCCACCAATGGGAAGGGGCGCGGTGGGGGGGGGAGAAGGAGGAAGAGGAGGAGGAGGCCGGCTCCAGAGCCGGGAGGACAAGGGCGAGCGGCCAGGGCCGCGGCGGGGGCCCCGGCGGGGAGGGACCTACCCGGGCGCGCGGGGCGGCGGCGGGCAGTTCTGGCGGCGGCTCCTCTCCGCTGCGGCTGCGGCGGCGGCTGCGGCCGCGGAGGCAAAGGTGATGGCGGCGAGTCCCTGTGGCGGCCGCCTCCGCCGAACCGCATCCCTCCTCCCGGCCCGCCCTCCTTCCCTATCTCCCGGTCCCAAACTTCTTCCCTGGGATAAACAAACCCGCCGCCAGGGGCGGCCGCCTGCGCCGCTCCCGCCCCCACCGCCCCCCCACCCCCCGCCCCGGCCCGGCCGGGCTCTGGCTTCCGAGTGGCGACTCCCGTCCCAGCCCAGCCCGCGAGGGCGCGTGCGCGCGGCGGCGGCGACGTTGTAGGGGCTCGCTAGGCGCTTCCTCCCTCCTCTCCGCGCCGGGACTTCCGGTCCAGCCCGGATCTACTGCCGGGTTTTGGGAGTAGCCGCGGCCGCGCCGGGCACTTCCGGTCCAGCCCGGATTCACCTCCGGGTTTTGGAGGTAGCCGCGGCCGCGGGCGGGCCCCGGGTTCCCAGCCGGCGGGCCGCCTGGGAGAGGAGGCGGAGGGACCTAGCCTTGGGGGACCCCGCTTGGGCCCAGCCTGGACCTTTCCTCCCCTAAAACCTCCTCACTATCTGGCTGAGCCACGTAGCGTACGAAAGGCCAAAGCAGTTTCTGCGCTCCATTTCCTTGGGGCTGCCCGGAGAGAAGGACCCAGGTGCGAGCTCAGCACTGTACAAACTGCACAAACAGAAACAGCGGCCTGCGGTCTCCAAGGAGAGCAGCCTGCGCCCTGCGGGATGAGTTTGGTTGGATGATGAGCTCCGATGGCAGGAGGGAGGGGTCCGCCCGCCGAGGGGTAACCAGGGGGCTGGCGGCCTCCCCAGATGGGACTTTGGCAAAGACAACTTCACCAACCTCATCTCTTGAGACGTTTGCTTCAAGTTTACGTTACCAACCTGGAGTTTAAGGAAACGGGTGGTAAAGAAAAACTTTATTCGGCAAATAATGGGCAAAAGATGATTGATCCAGTTGCCTAGAAGATCCTCATTAAAGAGGATTGAGGGACTTGCCAGAGCAGGCATGAGTATCATGTAAGGACCCCCGAGTCATGCCACCGCAACTGGGCATCACTCAACTGATTGCTTAGGTGGATTTTCCAAGAAGAGAATGGGGGAAAGAGAGGGGAGGGGAGAGAGTACGTATTATTTTACTACTGTAAGCGACTCGTATGATCTTTTTTAACCCCCTCAACTTTACAACTTCCTGATAGAAATCCTTCTCATCTCACAGTTCAAGCAACTGAAAAGCAGAAAGAATAACTCATCCAAAAGAAGTTAAGGAAATTCCAGGACAAATGGAATAGGGAAACTAGGACAGATAAGCAGCAGTTTGCAGCCACCTACTAAACCCTGTCTTCCCTAAACCAAGGACATTTAAGAGTAAATGGTCTGCATTTCTCCTCCCCAACCAAGGGTAAATAGCTTAAACGACCCCACTCAGGGTGACAGATAACTGAAGTCTAATTAGGTGCCATTTGCCAACCAAGGACAGACAAAGGAAGAGAATAAGTCTCATTTTGGTAAATCAGCATAAAGCTGATGAATGTCCTATTCTCTCCTAAAGCCCAGCCTTCAAAACTCCTGAAAATGAAGGTCCCAGCACATCTCAGCAGGCAAGTGCCATTCCCATCCTCCACTCCTTCCCCAAAGGGTCCCTTACCCCCTAACCTCTAAGCCTTAGAGTCTAAGGCACCCTATGAGACTTGCAACCCAGGGAGCTCAGAGGGTCAGTCTACTGCAGGGACAACTAGCAGTAGGCTAACCCTCTGAACCTGTCTCCAAGGCCCCCTTTTCTCCCACTTCCCAGAGAGCCAAAGCAGCTCAGCCTAAGCTCTCTTGTTGCTGCTTCTATGCCCTTGCTTGTTTCATGGTCCTAAGTATATTTTTGCTGTGGTCAATAAATTATTGCTTTCTTTTCTACACTTTGTCTTTTGATTGAAATATTTTCCTAAGAAGACAAGAACCGAGGTCTCCTCATTTCGTCAGTAACAATCCCAAGTTTACTGAAATTTGAAGATCTCCCTCGCTCAAATTAATACTACATTGGCAATCTTACATATTTAATATACAAAACGTGTGTTTAAAAATAGCAGTAAAATGCCCTGCCGGTGTTATTCAGTGGTTGAGGGTCCACCTATCTCTCCCTTTCTCTCTGAAATCAATGAAAATATATTTTAAAAAATAAATAAAAATAGCAGATAAAGATAAGATCAGCCGTAGAGGTCAAAGTTGTCTTAGGCCAAGAGTTTAAAAACAGAAGTGGTGCAGAGACAGGTTTGGCTCAATGGATAGAGTGTTGGCTTGGGAACTGAGGGGTCCCGGGTTCGATTCTGGTCAAGGTCATGTACCTTGGTTGCGGGCATATCCCCAGTGGGGGGTGTGCAAGACTCTCTCATCGATGTTTCTAACTCCCTATTTCTCTCCCTCTCAGTACAAAATCAATAAAATATATTAAAAAGAAAGAAAGAAAGAAAACAGAAGTGGAAGTGAGCACTGGCATGCTGGTGACTTGATGGGGAGAGAAAAATATTAGTGTAAAAATTCATATTCTCCAAACATGAAAAAAGAATAATTAAAGTTATTTGCTATACTCATGTGGGCCTTTGTTTACGTCATGATATGTGACAGAAACAGCGAAAATTAATACATGTAATTTTTGCCTAGGCCTTTTAATTATTTCAATCCCTTAACATTACACCCTGCCCTCTCTCCCACTGGCCAACCATTAGGCACTAGTAAATGTAAAACACTCAAGGAATCAAACTATCATAAACCTTTAAGTAGATTTCCAATTGGGAGTTAAGGAATGAGTGGTACTGATGACCCTTGACACTTGTCTGAGTTCTAGTCAGGGAGTGGTTCAGTAAACTAGACTATTATAATAGGCTTTAGTTTATTGCTACTATAAAAACAAGAGTTTTATCACGGGTGTACAGCATAGTGTACTTCCACTTGTCCTGTATCAGGCTTAAATCACTTAAGGCATTAGCATTATAATCACCCAACTAACTCCTTAGACATCAAGAAACTATGATACTCATTTTGCTGCTCCTTTGTCAATTTTCTATAGGAAACCATTCAGACTCCTCAATGTATGTGGCTGATTTGGGAGCTTTACTTTATTATAATTAATAGGTTGGCAGTTAGGAAAGATCAGAAAAGCCATTCTCTGAGCTTAATGAGCTCCGATGAGGACCACACTTTGGATCTTCTTGGCTCAACCCTATGAGCCAACAGACCTTCCCACTGAATCCATGCACTGGTGGAGGGCATGGCCTGCGGGGATGGTCTGCTGTAGGAGTGCTGCTCATTCTGGTCAGCTGAGCAGCACTCCCACTGTGGGAATTCATTGACCACCAAGGGGCAGCGCCTGCATTGAGCATCTGCCTCCAGGTGGTCAGTGTGTGTAATAGCAGCTGGTTGACTGGTTGTTCTGGTTGTTCTGCTGTTCAGTTACTGGGCTTTTATATATATATATATATACATACACACACACACACACACACACACACACACACACATATATATATATATATATATATATATATATATATATATATATAATAATAAGAGAAAACCACAAAAATGATCTCTTCTATAAGACTATCCAAAGTCCTGCATCTCTCCAGTCATGCCCTGAGAACTCTCATTCAAGGTCACTTACAGTTGCTGGAAATCTTTTACTGTGCCAGGATCCGCCATTGTTGCCATGATCTAGTAGTCTCTGATGACCTCTACTTTAAGTTGGCCAGCTAGCTCTCTCTGCTGGTGCCCTGGACCTGCCCCTTTGGTGTTCTCAAGTAACCCGAGCCATTTCTGCTGATTCTGGACCCTGGAAAGAGTCCCAGGGCAAGTCTAGAGCTCTCCACTGTGTTCCGCAGCCAGAGGTCACCAGCCTCTGCAGCAGCCCCACAGGGCTCTGAGGTGCAGCTGCCCAGCCTCCTCCTCTTTTATCTCTGCTCAGTCATCACAATGTCTCTGGGTCAGGGGCTTTGGTCACACCCTCTGCCTAGCAGGGCAATTTCTGGCCAGAGGATTTAATTCAAAGATCTGACCTTGCAAGCCCACAGGGTGGTTACCTGTCTCTTTATTCTTCTTCTCCCTAAAAATTGGTGTCACTCCATTCCACTCCCCTCTGACCCTGACTCAAGAAATGGCAATTCCACCCTGGCTGGTTTGGCTCAGTGGTTCAGAGCGTTGGCCCTCAGACCTAAGGATCTCGGGTTCAATTCCCGGTCAAGGGCATGTGTTGCAGGTTCCATCCCTGGCCCCAGTCCAGGTACATGTGGGAGGCAACCAGTTAATGTGGCTCTCTCACATCAATGTGTGTATGTGTGTGTGTGTGTGTGTGTGTGTGTGTGTGTGTGTTTTCTCTATCCTTGGATGAGGACTAAAATAAAATAAAATGAGTTCATATTAAAAAAAAAAAAAGAATTAAAAAAAGAAAAGAAATGGCAACTCTGTGGCTGTTTTCTCTGGTCACATAAAGGGGCCCTGCCTGCAGCATAACAGATGACCTTCTGTTTCACTCAGACTAAGACACCCCTCCTCCCCAAGGGGAGGCATATAGACTGGGCCCCTTGCTCTCAGACCAGCATTCTGGGTAAACTCCTATGGTGTTCCTGGGATGGCCCTGCAGCCAATCAGATACTAAGTGAACCCGCGATTCTTGGAACCTCTGTGCCTTAGGGGACCTTATCTCCCTGACTTCCCACTCTGCTGCCTCAGAAAACCTGAATTCTCCGGCTCAGCCCTCCCTCCTTTTCTTCCACTTGCTAGCTTTGGAAACTAAGCCCTGCTGTCTAGCTGGTGCCAGTCCTGCACTCATACCCCAACACAAGGCTGAGGGGCCACCTGTCTCCACATGGTTCTCTCTGCTATTCAGAGCCCTTTGCTGCCAGCGCGCCTGCTGGATTGGGCACCCTGGTATGGCCATTTCCAAAATTAGAAATGGGACTGTGCCATCTCTGGGGACACTGCCTCTGCACCTCCCAGCACCTGGTAAAGTCCAACCTCTGGCACCCATCCCCCAAGTCTCCTCCTCCCTCCCTCTCTTTGCTGTCCTTGGTGGTTTGGGTTTTGGCT